TAAAAACAATATTTTTTACTTTCAGCTATAAAACATATATAGTAAACTCAAAGTTGGTTATAAATTTAGGCCAAAATGTATTCTGCTACATGTTTTTGGTAAAAAAAATCCCAATAAGTGTATATTGATTGCTTTGTGTGAAAGTTATAGCGTCTACAAACTATGGTATAGATCCTGCAATTTATGCCATTTTATTGCTATACAGCGCTGCGCTAGTTTAATGGACAATTGCGCGGTCATGCAATACGGTACATAAATGAAATTTACATCCTTTTTTTCCCCACAAATTGAGCTTTCTTTCAGTGGTATTTGATCGCCTGTGCGGTTTTAATTTTTTGCGCTATAAAAAAAAAGGCTGACAATTGAGGAAAAAAAACAATATTTTGGACTTTTTGCTATAAAACATGTCCAGTAAAAAAAAATTGTAAAAATCAAATTTAGTCATAAATTTCTCAAAATGCATTCTGCGACATGTCTTTGCTAAAAAAAAAAATCCAATACGTGTAAATTAATTGGTTTACGTGAAAGTTATAGCGTTTACAAATGGCGGGAAAGATACTGGGATTTTGTTTTTTTTTTATACTAATAATGGCTGGATTAGCGACTTATGGCAGCGATCAGTGACTTATGGCGGGACTGCAGTGGACATTCTGACATTGGGGGGTACTGACTTGGGGTCACTGACATCCCCAGTGACACCAATACAGTAATCAGTGCAAAAAAAAAAACAACAAAACACTGACACTGTACTAATGGCACTGGGGAAGAAGGGGTTAACTTTATTTTTCAGGGAAGGGTTATCTGTGTGAGGGGGAGTGTTTTACTAGGGGGCGGGGGTGTGTGCTGGATGGGGACAGGCTGATCGGGAGAGAGAAACTCTTCTGTCCCGATCAGCTTGTCCTCGAGCTGTCAGGGAAGTGACAGAAAGCACAGCTACTGCAGCTGTGCTCTCTTGTCACGGATTGCCACCGATCGCCGGGAGATAGCCGGTAACGACCGTCTGTGACCCGGCGACTGACATCCGCGGCTGTGATCGGCGGGACAGGTAGGGTTTTGCCTGCCTGTGCCGCCGTATTTATACAGTGGCTGGGCGGCATGTGGTTAAGACATATAAAAATGAAATATGCTGCTTTCACTGCAATATTGTCTTTCATGATGCTAGTGAAGATATGTCTGCAGAACTATTGCTTGCAATGTAATCTTGAATGGATTGCTAAATATATTCTTGGGTAGAGGGACTAGAGAGTATAGAGTTTAAGATCCAGTTAGTGTCTCTCTGTTATTAATGAGGAAAAATACACAGTAGTAACAACTTGTCACAAACACTGATGGCGACCTCTAGTGGCCCACTGGCCGGAGTCCCCCAGGGCGCGGAGTCTAAGCCCAGGTCTGCTGGTTCACCAGAGCCCCTGATGGTGGGGATGGACTTGAAGCAGACCAGGACGCGACCCCTGAGTGACACCAACCGTGGTAAAGGCAACCGCCAATGGTGTGTAGCGGGTAGGAGCCAGATGTGAAGAGGTGGGATGTGGTCAGGCAAGCAAGGTAAGTAACAGCGAGGCAGACGGTACAGATCGGTAGACAAAGAGTAATCGGGTCACAAGCCGGGTTCGGTAACAGCAGGTCAGACAAAAGGAGCAGGCAGAGGATGGTCAGGGCGAGCCAAAGGTCAGGGCAGGAGAAGACAGCGGTATCAGGTCCAGGCAGGGTCAGCAACAAGGCAATTAGCATACAGGAAGAGCAGGAACACAGGAACAGGGAGAAGACCATCAGGCAACTTGTGTCTGTGCAGAGCTGGTTTAAGTAGCCCGCCCAGTGCTGACAGGCACGCCTGGGTCCTAGTGCCTGCCCAGCGCCGTCATAGATGACAGGCGCACCTGGGTCCTAGTGCCCGCCTGCCTGCATGTCTTGTTGGACACCTACGCATGTGCAGACTCATGTGTCGCGGTGGTCCCTGACACAACTGCACAATGGTCCTGGTTTGATGTTAGAATTTAAGATTAAGATGTTAACTGTAGAAACATGTGGCTCTTTCTTGTGAGGGCGTTAGAAGGATAATAGTAAAAGATGTAATATCGACAGCTGAGGTTTAAAGTGTTACTAAACCCACGACAGTAAAATCAGTCTGTATATGCAATAATGCATGCTTGTTATACTCACTGTGGAACCTAAGGGGCTAATCCTCTGCATTGTGTAAAATTAATGTTTGATCCTGTTGTCTCTGATCCTCCCCTTCTTCCAGTGTCTACTAAATATCTCCTGGTAGAACAGAGGCTCTGGGGCAAGCTGAACATGCTCAGTTTGCTGTGTATTGCTAGAGAGGTTTTTATTTTTTTTCTTGGGAGGGTGCATGTAATCAGCACAGGGCCATTCAGCACTGTCCAGACAGAGGTCAAGGGTTTTTCATCCTCCTACAGGTGAATGAAAACTCCTCCTACAAGCTGTAAACAGTGTTGTGCTGAAGTCACAAGACTACTCTAACTGCTGATGAGAAAAGGTATTTAGCGGTTTATATTTACTATAATAATTGCATTTCCATGTGGAAGACCAGATATAGTAAATGCAGGGTCTGGGTTTAGTAACACTTCAATTTTCTTCAGCTATGTTAGTGTGTACTGTTGCAAAAATTTTCCAAATAATTAATAGTCATCATTTGGTGGCTGTAGATTACAGTTGATTAAATAAATTGATAAAGTGTATGTATAGACAAAACTTTTTCTTTTTCGTGCTTTGGATAGAGCAGGCAAACGTTAAAACCAAAGTATTGTGTTTCAGGAGATTTCCCCTTTAATTCCTGTCCTGGAAACCATTCCAAAGTGAAGAACACTGGATTTCTGGCAGATCAAAATGCAGTGCCGTTAAAGGAAAAGTTTTGTATAGCGTAGAGAGGGATTAGTACACCTGGCGTGTTTTTATTGCCATCTGTGCCCCGTTAAGGAGATTTACCCTCCCTATTTGTCATGTTTACCAATGAACCATTCACTGAAAGTGAAACAGAAAACTATTTTAGGTTGTCCCAGAACAGTAATAGAGAGGAAATCTATCAATGTGGACACTAGGTCTGGTAACCCTGGTGACAACCAGAGATTTCCTCACTTTGGACAGATTTCCTCTCACTTCCTGTTTTGGCTATGAGACAGGAAGTAAAGGAAAACCTCCCCAATGGAACAAGGATGGCAAAACTAAATGTGAAAGGGATAACAGTCCCTTACTCTATCCAAATTAAAAAAAAAAAAAAAAAAGTTCTGCCTATACACCCGGTTTCAAATTATTATGAAATGATATTTTTCTCATTTACCTAAATAATTGATGTAAATAACAGTCAGCATAATTCTCATGTTATCAACTATTAAGCGTACAATTCAAATTTTATTGAACAAACCTCCTAATAACAGGATTTTTTTAAACATAAAAAACATACAATGCACTGTTCCAAATTATTACGCATAGTAAGTTTCAAAACACTTTATAGGTTGTAAAGAACTGAAAATTGTCATTTGTTGTGTTTGCAGCATATTTACTGAAATCAAAAGCTATTTCAATCAAACTTTTAACAACATTTTAACTTTTTAAATATTTTAACAGGTCACGTTACATTTTAACATAGGACCCCATATTTGATAGCAGCTTCACAAGTCTTGCATCCATTGAACTTCTGAGTATTTGGACAGTTTCTGCTTGAATTTGTTTCCAAGATGTCAGAATAGCCTCCCAGAGCTGCTGTTTGGATGTAAACTGCCTCCCACCCTCATAGATCTTTTGCTTGAGGATGCTCCATAGGTTCTCAATAGGACTGAGGTCAGGGGAGGATGGAGGCCACACCATGACTTTCTCTCCTTTTATCCCCATAGCAGCCATTGATGCAGAGGTATTCTTTGCAGCATGAGATGGTGCATTGTCATGCATGAAGATGATTTTATTACGGAAAGCATAGTTTTTCCTTCTGTACCAGGGAAGAAAGTGGTCAGTCATAAACTCCACATACTTTGCAGAGGTAATCTTTACACCTTCGGGGACCCTAAAGGGGCCAACCAGCTCTGTTCCCATGATTCCGGCCCAAAACATGACTCCACCACCGCCTTGCTGACGTTGCAGCCTTGTTGGAACAGGGTGGCCGTCCACCAACCATCCACTACTCCATCCATCTGGACCATCCAGGGTTGCACGGCACTCATCAGTGAACAGGACTGTTTGAAAATTAGTCTTCATGTATTTTTCTGCCCAATGCAGCCGTTTCTGCTTGTGAGCATTGGTTAGTGGTGGCCGAATAGAAGGTTTATGCACAGTTGTAAGACTCTGGAGGACTCTACACCTTGATGTCCGTGGGACTCCAGAGGCACTAGCAGCTTCAAATATCTGTTTGCTGCTATGTAATGGTATTTTAGCAGCTGCTCTTTTGATCCGATGCATGGATCTGGCAGAAATCTTCCTCAATGTGCCTTTTATCCGCACGAACCGTCTGTGCTCTGTGCTCTGAATCAGCCACAAATTTCTTAATAGTGCGATGATCACGCTTAAGTTTTCGTGAAATATCTAATGTTTTCATACCTCATCCAAGGCAATGAACTATTTCACTCTTTTCAACAGCAGAGAGATCCTTTTTCTTCCCCATATTGCTTGAAAATGGTGCTCTGCTTAATAATGTGGAACACCCTCCTTTAGTAGTTTTTCCTTAAATTGGGCTCACCTGCCAATCTAATTATCACAGGTGTCCGAGATTGTGTTCAGTGATCAAAAGAGCCCTGAGACACAATGCCATCCATGAGTTAAACTGAAAAACAAAATATTTCATCTTTGTGACACTTAAATAGAATTTGTATAATAATTTGGAACAGGGTGTAGTTGTACTAATTAGGGACATATCTTGTGTCTCCAATGGATAGAGATAAATATATTGAAGACAAATTTCCAAGTACATGATGATGTGTTTGAAATACTATATACAAATAACCAGTGCATTATAACCTTCAGTACTATTGGCATGTAGTACAGGGACTCACTTTATCTGCTTAGTGCTTTTGTACCGGATGAAGAGGACAATGGGATAGATGTGGACACTGTGAAGACGCTCAATAGCATGAGGGGCTATGTCCAACAGACAGTGGCAGTTCTGTGAAGCAAAGATAAGTTTGCAGTGAGGTATGCTTGTTACATCCAGAGATGAACAGATTACTTCCATCTACAGGTTCACAAGACAATGCTATGGGATACAGCTTTTAAAAAACATACCTTTTCTGTAATCTCCTTTATTGAAGCAACCGTGGTGACGTCAAAGTGCCCACTTCGCCTCTTGTAGTCTATGAAAAGGCAGTCCTTCACCCCACGTTCTATGGCCTGTTGTGAAGCTTTCATTACCTCTAAAAGTCAAAACATTTTAATATGCAAACTTTTCACAGAAAAAAAATTGCAAGATTATTCTCTATATTAAAACCAGGGCAGAAAAATAAAGTGACTGTACTCATATTGAAAGGGTAAGACACCTACCTAGTGGACATCTGCAGAACCTCCCTGGGGACTCCTTGACAAGCATATCTTTCACAGCATCAACTAATGGTCCAAGAATAAGCACAGGGCGAGGTGATGTGCAGTCGACCCTCTGAACTCGCTGGTATGCCAAGTTCATAGATTCTACGAGACAAAAGTCAATGTTATGGTAAAGACAGAAAAATGAAAACAAAGTTGACTCAGTGAAAACCTTCCACATACAGTAAAATGCATTATTTCATAGTAGAGCCAGTATTTTCTTTATAGAACCAGAGCTACTCCGCCATAGGCTGAAAATATTCAGCCAAAGCCTCTCTGTGTGTGGCAATTTTTCTTGTTACATGACCTATGAATCATGTACACTCCTACAGGGGATGCAGAGATATCAGAGAAAGGGGCAACAATATTTAAGTATAATCTACAGGATAATTTTTTTTTTTCTGCACACTTAAAAGAGTCAATTTACAATTCTAACTGAAAGCAATTAGAACCACTGTCTAAATTGTATTTATGTTTGTGCCCCCATTGGGAAGAGTCTCTCTCTCTATTTGTCCTGGTTTCATGACATTTAGGATGGGAAATTCAAAATGTTACAATTGTGTTTGAAATAGGAAGTGTGTGGAAAAAGCATTTCTGCGATAAGTGTTAAAGTAGATAAATTCCCTCACTTTGGGGAGGTTTACTCTCACTTGCATAAAAGTGGCCACCCGCCCAAGTCTATAACTGGCTTATGAAGCAAGGACACATAAACAGGCATCACATAGTGAAAAAAAGGGGGAGAGAACAATGTTCTTGGACAACTTGCCAGCCTCTCACTGCCTGTTGTATTTTAAGCAAAAAAAAAAAAAAAACCTGACAAGAATATTTCAAGCCTGACTTACAGTACCATTGTGTCTTTAAAAAGGCAAAAAAACTTTATGGGGGACAATATAAACAACAGGGCACATCAAGATATGTACCAGCAAAAGGACTAAGAGGCAGAAAGGCACAAAACTGGTTTGGCAGTGTACTGGTACTTACCTCATACTGTTTTGCAGGATATGCCTTGGAAAAATGTTTCTGCCTTACAAAACAATTGTTTTTTCTGTGGATCAAGTTTTATAACTGTAACCATTTATCCTTTGAACTTATGGCATTAATAGGCATATACAGGTAATATCAATTTAAAAAAAAGAGCAAAAATTAAAAAACACAAAAAAAAAAAAAAAAAAAAAAAAAAGGAGAGTTTGATACTCATATAGGATGGCTCAGGTGAGCTCAAAAAACACTGTATATGCATTGGAGCCCCTAAGGCTGAATTCTCCTTGGGAGGTCCATGGGGATTGCATAACGTAACATCGAGCACATTTTTACCATTCATAATTCAAGTCAACTCCAGTAAGCAGCGGAGGGTGTCATCTTTCTTTATATTCAAGAACTGTTACAATTTGCACTGACTTATACCATGTACTTGATATTCATTGTATTATTAAAAAATGTTTCTTATGATGGGTTTCAATATTTGAGTGCTTCATGGTTTTGTGCTTTGAGTAGTTAGTACAAAATGTTCTCTTGCAACACCATATTCAGTTCTTACTAGGCACATTGTCTGTAAGCATCTCCCCACATATTCTGGTTTCCTAAACACATGTTGGTAGTTTGTCTTCCATCCATGATCTGTGTTTTTCAATATGATTGCAGCAGAGCCATCTATGTACTGTGAACCATCTATGTACTCTAAAGAACTGCAAACTGTCAGCATTATATAAAAATAAAATTGGACTTTTTACTTACCTGTAAAATCTTTCTTGGTGTACAGTTCAGGACACATTCTGTCAATCATAATGGAGGAGTTATATGCTGCACCTTCAGGTGACTGGACATTGGCAAAGCCACTCAAAGCTTAAACACTCCCTCTTACAACTCCTCCCACCATGTGATCCTCCATTTTGTGGCAAGCAATGAATGACCAAAAAACACAGAGGGGAGGGTCCTGTACTGTATTCCAATGAATACAATTTTACAGGCAAGTAAAAAATCTACTTTTCTTCATCATGCAGTACATCCCAGGGCAGAGGGGGAGGATAGATGGGCAACAAAAATTCAGCCAGACCCTCAAAAAAACAAACAAGGCAAAATCAAGTTCAAACAACTGCCTGCAAAACGTTTTTAAAGCTGGCATCAGCCGAAGCCTGAACATCAACCTGGTAAAACTTAGCAAAGGAAAGATCTGTATCAAGTTGCAGCCTTGCACAGCTTTCATGGGGCGGAGCCTAAACATGGCAGCGACGGAGAGCACGATGTGAGTGCTCTCCGATAACCCCCGATCTGACTACCCTGAGAACCCTCAGGACTTAAACTGCGGTGCCCTACCTGAGTGAGGTCTCCTAAAGGTGAGAATCCCGGCGCGGTGAAGGAGGAGGAGAATGAGAGCGGGCACGGAGCTCCGAGAGGGGATCACGCTGCAGAGACCCGAGATCAGCTGTCGGGTTGCCGGGGAAACCGAGCAGTGTGCGGCGGGAGCACGCTGGTGGCCGCAAAGGAGCTCTGGGAAGCTGAGACGCCGGCCGGTTCCCTGACAGGAGAGGGGAGATGCCGGAAGAGTCCCTAAACCTGCTGCACAGAAGAGGACACATATTTACAAGCAACAGGAGACCCTGCAGGAATCCCCCAGAGACACAATCCAGGAGAAACAAATGGACGGCTGTGGATCTGGGTCGTCTCATTTGATGAGCAAGTGAAGGAGGGTGAGTGAAGAAGCCATATGTAATTGTATATGTGTCCTGGACTGTGAGAAATGAGCTTCCTATAAAAGAGTGAAGGGGGATTCCCAGGGAGATCTGGAAAGTGAAAAAAAATAAAAGAAAGAAGAGAGAAAGAGAAATTGCTAAGTGGCATTAGAGAGATTTGATTAAAATCAATACTCCAATATACAGCCTAAAGTTTCCCTCTGGTTAAAGAGTACAGCTTGCACAGGAGGTATGAAGAATAAAAGCGTTAAAGGAAGTGGGCTTAAAGGGTCCCAGACGGGTACAATTAAAAAATATACCTCCCAGGGGAATGTGACTCCAGAAAGGGCCCATAGTGGCAATGAAAAAGGGGAAATGGAAACCAGTCTGGAAAATAGCCCAAGATTGTCACTGGGCCTGAATTGTAGCAGCCGACAGTCGATAGAAAACCCAGAGAGGAAAGATCTTGAAAAGGATTTACAAGTGCCGAATAAAAGAGAGATGGCCGAAATGTTTAAAAATTTGGAAAAAACTTTTAAGCAAGAAATGACAAATATACGACAGGATCTAGGGCACCTGCTAAAGAGAATGGAAGAAATGGAGGAAAAAATTAATAAACACACCCAATTTATTTCAGGTCTAAAAAAAAGGGCTGCTATGATGAGGAATACGCAGAAACAATTGCTGTATAAAATAGAAGTACAAGAGAACAGGAATAGGAGAAGCAACTTGAGGATAAGAGGAATCCCAGAAATTTTGAAAGGGAGAGAACTTCAAGAAATAGTCTGGAAAATGTCAAACTCCATTATGGACAGACCTGAAACAGAGGTAATTAAATTGGATGGAGTATATAGAACAGGAAGGTTCCATCAAGGTAATGAGAAGGCAAAACCAAGAGATGTAATTGTTCAGCTGCATAATTATGGAGATAAGGAAGAGATTTGGAAAAGGACTAAAGGAAGAACAACTATTAAGTATGGAGATATAAATATTCAGATATTTGCGGACTTATCGTATGAGACATTGTGGAGAAGGAGATCCTTGAAACCCCTTTTAGAGCACATGAGAACACGGAATGTTCAATATAGATGGGGTAACCCAGAGAGTTTAATCGGATGGAAGAATGGTGTTACAGCATATCTGAGATTTCCTGAGGACTTGAGAGACTTCTGCGATAGACTGGAATTGCATAGAATAAGGATTACTGGGTGGGAAACAGAGGGAGAGATAGGCAATGGGGGAAAAGAGGATTGGCAGACATTTGGTAGGGGGGAGGTAGGGAGGAGTTAGAGGGGATAATGTGAATTTTTTTTTTTTTTTTTTTTTATATAGTCCTCTTTATCTCTTTCAACCGCACCGCAAAAGTGGAAAGATGTGGAGAGAAAGAGGGTAATCGGGGATGGGAAAGCTGTACATGGGAGGAGTTCAACCCCAAGGTTTAAAAAATCAAAGGTGGTCTTATACCCACAAATGATTGATAGGCAATTTGAAGGCCTAAAAAATGGGGGGGGGGGGGGGGGGGGGTAGAGGGAAAAGGGGGGGGGGGGGGGGGGGGGGTTGGGAAAATGGGAGGGGGGGGAGGGGACGGGAGTTGGGTGGGAGGGAGGGAGGGAGGGAGGGGAGGAGGAATTGGGTCAATACTCTGCATGACAGAAGGGATAAAGAGGAAGAGGCAATTTGGAAGAGAGATGGAGTTAATTGGGAAAGATGGAAGAAATACAGTTTATAACCTATAATGTGAACGGGCTGAGTTGTCCAGGGAAGAGATTTAGGTTGTTTAATGAGTTACATCATAGGGCTACGTCAGTGGTATTTTTACAGGAGACGCACTTTGAGATAGTGGCAAACGTGAAACTGAAATCCAAACACTACCCAATATGGTATTATGCAGATTCTCCAATTAAAAGACCAAAAGGGGTTGCAATAGGTTTGGCAAAGAATATGAGATTTGAGCTGGAGGATAGAAGAACCGACCCGGAGGGGAGGTTTTTATTCTTAAAAGGTAGACTTCAGGGGATTGAGTGTACTTTAGCCAATATATACTGCCCTAATAAAAACCCGGAGATGTATATGAAGGGTCTGTTGAAAAAATTAATGGAATTTAAAAAAGGGCGCTTGATAGTAGCAGGAGACCTACATTTCTGTATGGACCCACAAAAGGATAATACCTCTTCTGTGCAAAGAGAAGGGAGTAGATCTCTGAGAGCTTTGAAAAAAGTGATGCACGAATATCAACTAGTGGACATCTGGAGAATAATGCATATGAAAGACAGAGACTATACCTTCTTCTCTAATGCACATGAGATATACTCGAGATTAGATTACATCTTAATAGACCATCAACTTATAGATCATCTGGTTAAAATTGACATAGAGACAAGGACGTTCTCGGATCATGCCCCGGTCGTAATGAAAATGGGATGGGGAAGAAGGTGG